TTCCGGCTGGGTACCTTGGCTTCCCAAACCCTCTCCAGATAGGAAATCACTCACTACAAAGCACAGTCCACAGCCAAATACCCTGCTTACCCCTTAAATTCCCACTTAAGTAATTCCTTAAATCTCTGGAGTTGGAAGATGCCTCTGGAGATTGTCTATATCAGTCTCTGAGCACCACTGAGAAGCATCTAGCTCTGTTTTGTTTACACCCTGCCCCCATCAGCTATTTATATACACGATAAGATGTTCCTGAGTTCTCTGCTCCCACATAAACAGCCTCAGCCCGCTAAACACCTCTCCATATGGGAGATGCTCCGGTCCTTCTATCATCTTCTTGGCTCTGCACTTGCTCCAGTGTATCCTTGTATGTCTCTCCTGGGAGGACAGTGCCACATGCCAATGACAAGACCTTTGCAAATACCAAGGATCAGACAAACGATCGTGGGAATTGGATGCAATGCTCAAACTCTCATGTCCCGACTTCAACAGCAGGACCAAGGCATGCAGAGGGGTTTGAGCGGGCTGGCACACAGTATCCTTGCCAATCCTCATCAGTTAATGCCTTGGGGCAGATCTGCTCAAGCTCCCAAGGCTCCCACTATGCTCTGGCCAGAGCAACTTACTCTTTGGGTCTGTTTGGAAATTTATTCTAAACATGCTGGTGGTATTGGCCATGAATCTTCCTGGCAGGCTCATTTTCCATTTAAGCTCAATGAATGCCTCTGCGGGATATTCAGGAGGGTGCTCTGCTTCCATTGAGCCTTTAGTTAAAACAGTACTGGATGAAAAAAGAAACTATGCCTTCCCTTTTCAACGAGAGAGATCGATGGCTGTGGCCTGGGAGTGAATAAATTAGTGGTCTCAGCCCTGATCCCTTTTCTTCTACAGCCTCTTCTCCAGGCTGGTCTCAGCAGCCCTTTGCCACGAGAGCTGCCCACAGAAACTTGCACTTTTGTCACAGGGTGAGATGGGCCAGTGCTCAATTTCCAGCGTCTATTGGAGCTGAAAGCAAAGCAAGGGCAAAGTGCAGCTTTTCCTGGTGTTTCCTGCAAAAGAGGCCTCTATCAGATAGGGGCTATTTAAAGAACGAACTCTGGACTCTATCAGGGTGTCAACCCTGAGAGTAAAACCCAGCAGGATGCCCCTTACAGCCAGGGTAGTGCAAAGTAAGGAGCTGGCTAGTCACTGCTTCAAAGCATCCTCCTGTCTGCTTTAAAGAAGTTCCTCTTCCCTGTCGTTAGAATCTTAGAATCAGTATTTATTTATTTATTTATTTATTTATTTATTTATTTATTTATTTATTTCTTCTTCTTTTTCTTGATGTTTAGCAATTTAAATTTCACTGAGAGATCTGGAAGCTGTGGAAGTATCTTATATCGCTTTTCATTTCTGGAGAGACATGAATTCATCCCAAGTGAATGCTGTACTGGCTACATCCAGGGCAGCACATCTTGCTGCCCCATTTATCTTCCTCAGCTCCAGGAGAGGTTCTCACATCCAGCCTTTCACTGCCACAGCATTAAACTGTTCTAAAGCTGATGGGGAGATAGGAAGATTTGTTCAGGACTGAAGAAATTATTCTGTTTGACCACACTGAAAATACTGGTCTTTTGTATAGGACTAGAAAAAAAATGCAAAACCCAGTGATTCGCAGAATCTGACTTAGTTTCACTCAGCTTCTCTGGCTCTGCATGCCTGTGAGCACACCAATGGAAGGAAATGAAAACAACTCTGCAGAAACACTTTTAAAAAGCCTGGTTTCAGATTGCAATCTTATTTCAACTTTCTGCTCCTGCGTGGCCTTTGCAGAGTACTGGGCTCAGACATGTTACAGCACTTGAGAACTGATAGGACAGGGAGCTACATCCCATGTGGAGGTGACTCAGGAGGCCCCAAGCCTCAGGGCAGACTGGTTTATGTACTGGATGACAGTGAAGGGGCGAGGGAGAGGACCATGAAGACAGCACGGGCACAGTAGGGTCAAGAGCCTCTCCTAGTCCCTGCCACTGCTAGCATAGCCTGGCTTTGCAGGAGAAACTGGAGGATCTGAACAACAATGGCTCATCAAGGTCCCAGAGCTTCCCCTGGGAGCTGGGATCCTGCTGTATGGTGGATCCTGATCCACTGTAAAAGGTTGCTCCGTCACTCAGCTTCCACTGTCTGCATCGTGGCCAGAGCTACTCTGCTTTGTTGCCCTTGGGCATCCTGACCAACAGCACCAGGAGCACGAGGACTCAGACTCAAATCAGCTGCACAAATGCCTTGGAAAATGGTGACTCCAGGGATAAATCAGACCTCCATTTATCTCCATTACTGCTTTGGAGCAGGAGGGAAGAAATGGGAAACATCTGAGCAATCTCTGCTTGATTGTACAAGGTCTTGGTCTTTAAAATAGCCTGTTCACTGCTGTGCTTTTGTGGATGATCCCCGATCACTATAACTAGTGTTCACTGTTTGGAACAAAAGGTACTTCATTCCTGTCCTGTTCTGCTGCCATCAAAACCCCCATCAGCAAGCCTGCCCTAATAAAACCCATGGCTATACCACGTAGGTTCCTTAATGTTCCCACAGCTGGAAGTGACATTTTCAATGGCATGCAAAACATTTTAAATGTAATTAGAGGAAGAGAAGAGCTTTGGGGAAAACAGAATCACTTTGCTTGCTTGATTCTGGTAGTTGTGTAATTTAGTGTCATGTAGCAAAATGTATTCTCTTCCCAAGCATCCTCATCCAAAAGAGCTGTTAGTTGTCCATTTATCCTCCTTTCCAAGAGGGCCAAGCAGACAACTGAGTGATGCTGGGCAGAGGTCCTCTGTGTATGGACCTGCGACATCTGCAAGGTCTTTGCAGGACCATCTTGCCTTTTTCCCAAGTGATGCTCAAAAAACATGCTTTACTAATGTTAGACAGATGCAAAAACATTTTCTGAGACTTGGAGAAAGCAAGTGAGAATCAACCTAGTCTGGCAGGTTCAGCGCTCACCAGGCATTGGGTGCCCATCTTTACTTTAGTGAATATTAACTATTCCTTGCAAAGTGAGAGCTGATGGATCCAAATCCCATACTGGCAGACCAGGAGATGAACCATGTCCAAGCTTGGAGACATACATCCCTGTGGAAGTGAAACTGTCTCCTCTCTCTGCAGCCATATGCATCTATTTTCCTCTCTTTAGTTTCAGACAAGAAGTATTCACTAAATTTCATGCAAATTATTGTTTGGCAAATTGTCAGAAATGTCTATCATCTGCTTTGTGAGCTATGTGGCAAGTAAAAACAAGAGCTATTTCATGTGCTGGGCGACCTGGCTGGTGTTCCCTGCAGCCAACCTGTCGCTAGCACGTCTATTTTGGTTTGGTTTTGAAAGCACTTGATGTGTGATCAAGGATAACAGTTGTCATTACTGGTGCTTATATTCACATAGGAGGAAAAGAAAACTTGTACTCAGGACACTGACTGCTTAGACACTGGTAAAGACTTTCTCCTGCTCAACCATTCACAGCTAGCAAGTGGTACTGCTCAAACCCCTAATTGCACTGCTTTGCTTTTTTTTTCTCATGTGTTCCTCTGAAATATAAAATAATAGCCATTGCAAAGACAGTTCATCAGCCTCATGTCCTCTGATGCTATTTCTCTCCTGCCTGGTTAGATGACCATCCATCCTTATATCCCATCACATGAGCCATCACCCAGAAAGCAGTGGGAGTTTTGATAGAAGTGTCAGTTTTCTAGAAATGGGGTGTTAATTGCACAGTGTTAAAATAATAGCATTTAACTCTGCACCAGTACATCTCAAAACACTTTAAGAAGGTGAATATATTTTTATCCCTCATTTACATAAATGAAAATGAGGTACAGGGATGTGATTTACACAAGGTCATCTAGCAAGCCAGCGGCAGAATAAAAATAGATGCATTTGTATCTCTTTCCTTTAGGATCATGTTAGTTCACACAACAACATTTCTCATCAGAGCTGACAGGAAATGAAATACCTCTCACAGCCTTT